TGAATAAATCCAACCAAATCAAACAGATATAGTAATTCCCACTTGAAGGAGGCATATGAGAGGAGTATGAATTACGTATGCATGATCTCAACCTTAATAAAATAGAACATCAATCATCGTTTCATGTTTGGCAGACTTTTTATGTATAACAGACAGGAACATAGTGGAACAAGTGTGTTCCACTCTTACCCATGTAAGAAGGTGGGACAAACCTATATTTTATCAATATAACATCAAAATAAAACTTAGTTCTCATAAAACATCAAATAAATCTTCTTATTTACATTTTATTCATTCTTTAGATTTTATTTATTGTATTTTATGTTCTTTAAGTCTTTACTTTACAGTGATCCAAATATTGTTTTTATATGGTTTATATAAATTGATTAATTTTATGTAATTAATTACATATTATTGTTAGTAATAATAATACAGAAAAGTTATAAAATAGAAGTGAAAACTATATGAACTTTTTATTTTGATATATTTTGTTATAAAAAACATATTTATTTCATTATAGTTTTTTTTATTAACCTGGATATCCAACCCGCTATGCAAGCCGATTAATCTCATGACGACCACTTGCTTTGCAGATAGCCCGGAGTCACCGCATTTGAACCTCCATGGCCACAAGAGGATTTTTATTTCTCATTGGATTTGAACCTGAAACATCCAGGTACTTTTGACATTTGGACCTAAACTCAAACCAATCAGACAACACCTTTATGGTTTATTTTATTATAATTTATAAATTACGTAAAGTAACCAATATGTATAAAATATATAAAGAACTTTGTTATGTCATGTTCAGTTTTATCTTACCAAACACTGAACAACTATTATGTCATATTATGTCCTATCATGTCTGGATACCAAATGCACTAAACGCACTATCGTCCTATGAGAACAGTATAAACTTTGTTAGTATACAAATTAACTATCCACATACATTCTCAATCAAAATCAGATGCAAATTAACTATCCATATTCACTCTTTTTCGTTTTCGTATATCACCCTCTTCCACATTTTTTTTGATTAACTTGGATATCCAACCTGCTATGCGAGCCGACTAATCCCAGGGCGACCACCTACTTTGCAGATAGTCCGGAGTTACCACATTTGAACCTCCGTGACCACAAGAGGATTTTTAGTTCTCCTTGGATTCATTGCTGTTCTTCTTAGAGTCACCATAAATGTCGAAACCTGTAACCGATGCCTTTTTTTAAGGTACATCTGTACTGTATCTATTTCCATTTTTTATGAAGGTTCTCATGTTAATAACATGCTATAAATTAACTATGGTTAAAGTTAGATTACCAATATAAACTTATGAGTCGTTTATCAAACTATCAAAGTATAAATATGCATCACTTATGAAAACTTATTCAAATTATTTCATCATTGCAATAAGGGATACTTATATATATTATATTATAAAGTATTTGAGCAAAATTCTTAAAAACCATTTTTATATATGAAATACTGTTTATTGATGCATACTACTTAAAATTCACGATTGCAAGTAAATTTTGTACAAGTACAACTTATTAAAGCTCCATGTCTGAATTCGTATAACTAACTATAGATAAACATAATCAAATACACGATAAACGTTTAATTTTAAATATAAAAAATCTAAAATATAATCAAGATAATCATTGTGTTCTAACAGAATACTTGATTATTATCGTTATAAAAATTATATTATTAAATCAAAAGTAATTTACTTTGTTATTAGACCTAAATTAAATTTAAAAAAAAAACTGAATTAAAGAAATTTCACAAAAGCAAGAACTTTTAAATAGTTAAATTGATATATGTTTTTTTTTTTCAAAATTTTATAATATCTTCAAATTTTTATTTGATCTAAAAACAAAAACATTATCGTTTTCTCAAAACCACATAAAACTGTATTATAACATCGACACAAGACAAAATAAAACGAATCGTTAAAATCAATATTTATCTCGCTACATTACGTAAATACCATTATAATACTATATAATGTTATTTTTATTTACATACGATTATATAAAAATTTAATAGCTAGTTATAGTGTTAAAAATCTTATCCCAAATTGAGCTATTTATAGATCCTAGTGTATTTGCTTTTACCAAACAAGTAATGATCTACACTATAGATAAAAGTTTTAAAAATTATTTTTTATGCATGAAATATTATTTATTGATATATATTACTTAAAATTTAAGATTACAAATAATTTTACATATGTACAACTTATCAAAGCTCTATTTTTAAATTCGTGTAACTAACCACAGATAAATATAATCAAATACAGGATAAACATCCATTTTAAAAATAAAAAAAATCTAAAATACAATTAAGATAATCATTTAGTTCTAATAGGATGTTTAATTATTATCTTTATAAAGAATTTTGTTATTAAATCTAAATTAAATTATAATAAAAAATTGAAGTAAAGAAGTTAATAAAAAAAACGAGAACTATTAAATAGTTAATTTGATACTAATATCGTTTTATTTATTTATTTTTCAATTTTTTATGTTTTTTCCAAATTTATATTTCATTCAAAAATAAAAAAATTTATTGTTTTCTCAAAATCACATAAAATCGTATTATATAGATAGAGACAAATAATAAAATCAAACATTAAAATCGAGATTTATTTCGCTGCATTGCGCGAGTACCCTTCCAGTAGGTTTAAAGAGTTTCGAAGTTGAATTTTTATTTGGTTTGAGCTTAACATAATAAGTCAAAATATAGAATTAGCACGTTTCACGTGTGCGATTTCCATGGAATCAATATTTTTTGTCTTTCCAAAACAGTAACTCGAGGTCACGGGAAAAACCAACGTAACTCACTGGATGACGAGTTTTCCTCGTCTTTTTGACATTTTTTCTATTGGTTGCTATAGACCATGACATGGATAAAATCAAATGGCGGTTTTTATGGTTTCGAGTATTTACATCATATTTCCTTCTATCTTTTCTCCCTCTTTTTTTACATAATGATGTTTATAGCGATATTAAGATCGATTGAGAGAGAGGTACAAGCAACAATTCGAGTGGCTTCAGAATACCTCCTCAAAATACCTATATCTATTTTTTTGAAGTATATAATATTTATATAAGACAAATGCAACAAATAAACTCACACACACCATCCTCACATTTGGTGGGGTTTGAACCCTTGATCTCCTAGAAGGCCAAAGACTATGACATCGCTAGGCCAAAGACCAAAGGTTTATATACCTATATCCATTGTTGTGGCAATAGGAGCGATAGCGTTCGTGGTGGTACTTCACGATTCCAATGTACTATTGTATCCTATATTTAAGATCAGACAACTTTGAGGTGAATTAGCCGTAACCCAACAACACAAAATGGGGGTTGATATTATCCTAAGGATAACGATCTGTAATAATATTGTTTACGTTTTGCTGTTTATGCAACAAATTTCTAACCTAGTTGGTAAAGATACAAAATGATTTTGCCCATATACAAGACATTTCTTGGGTTCGATCCAGGGACGGACCCAGAAATTTTTTCAAACGGTGGCACTATATAATTAATATAGTATAATATACATCTAAAAATAATTATAAAAAATATGGTTTTTAAAGTACCGATAAGGCTGTAAACGAACCGAACGTTCAGCGAACCGTTCGGCGGGAAATTCGTTTATTTAATAAATGAACGAACATGAACTATTTTTTTGTTCGTTTAGTTAAACGAACGAACATGAGCAAGAGTCTCGTTCGTTCCTTTACCGTTCGTTTATGTTCATTCGTTTATGTTCGTTTATATATTAAGTTTAATATATTATCTTTTATTTATTTGCTTTGAATTCAAATAATATTTATTTATGTTCGTTTATGTTCGTTTAGCCCGTTCGTTTACGTTTGTTTAGCATGTTTACGAACGAACATAAACGAACACGAACACACCTTATTTCTAAACGAACGAACACGAACACAAAGATTTTCGTTCGTTTATCGTTCGTTTTCGTTCGTTTGTTCGGTTAAGTTAAACGAACGAACATGAACAAGCCTCCGTTCGTGTTCGTTTGGTTCGTTTACAGCCCTAAGTACCGATAAACAACTCCTAAACTTGTACCCGACGCTTCTTCATCTTTTGAAAACAGTCAATATATACCCAAAAATAATTACAAAAATTATGGTTTTTATAGTACCGATAAACAACTCCTAAACTTGTACCCGACGCTTCTTCATCTTTTGAAAACAGTCAATATATACCCAAAAATAATTACAAAAAGTATGGTTTTGGTTATTTGGGCTTTGTTTTGTTTGGGTTTTAGTTGCACCATTTGAATTTTAGGGAAATACGGTAGCACCTTCTAAAACGATACGGTAGCACCTTTAACAAACCTAAATTTTTTACCCTTCGACGATGAAATAATACGGTGGCACGTGCCACCCATGCCACCACATAAGGTCCGCCCATGGTTCGATCCCACATCCTCTACTAGCCTCGGTTATTAAGTGATTAAAAAACTCCCCTTACATTGTATCTTTGAAGGTGAGTTTCGTACATGTTTGTGTAGGACTGATTTGAAAAGAAAAACAACACAACCAAAGGATCTTTGATCTAGCGGTTTGTGAGTCTTTGGCTTTTTAGGAGGCCAGAAGTTCAAACCTCATCAATTGTGAAAAAAGTATCTTAGGGGCCGTTTACCCAAATGTTTACTCGGTAAGTGCTTACCAGTAGGAATCAACATTATAATTTATTTTTATCGGATAAGATTGTAGTCTATCAAAACGTTATTTTATGCAACAATTTACCCGGTAAGCACTTACTCGGGTAGGAGTCGTCATCCTCACTTATTAGGTAAGACTTTCCATCATAATTATCGTTTTTACCATGTAAGATTCTTGGGCATGGCTATGTTAACCCGATAAAAAAATTATCCAATAAGTAGTTACAGAGTTACAGGATAAATGTTTGGTAGACGGCCCGCATTATGGTACCAATAATAGCAGTAACACTTTGTCAAATTTGGGAGGCAAAACAATTCCTATAATTTTCATTACACCAAAATTTGGATAACGACGAGTTGATTTACAGAGAATCAAAATCAAATCCACCTGCAAATCCGCCATTACCAACTACGCTATCTCAGACATACACACACATCAAGAAGAAAGAGCTCACTCATAAGTACACCATGGTTTCTTTAGGAATTGCAGTCGTATCAATGGCGAAACCCTCGTTTCTACGAGCCGAACAACACTTACCTTCTGATCTCTCCGCCGCAACCTCTCCTGGATTCGTCTCCTCTCGCCGCCGTGACCTCGTTTTTATAGTCAATCCTCGAGGTTTGCATCTCAATCTCTATTGATTTATTCTTCTTCTAATTTTTGTAAGTAATTGATTAGTTGTATAACGTGTTGATGAAGACTTGCATTTGATCTGTTTAAGGTGCTAATGGTCGGACGGGGAGAGAATGGAAGAAATTGCTACCGTATCTTAGGTCTCGCCTCGGAAGTGATTGTAATGTGAGATGTTTATCAGCTCGTTGTTAATTAAGTCGTACTCACACAATTAAAACTCATGCGATGGATCTAAACATTCTGCATGTTGTTACATTAAGCATTAGCCATGATCATGTATTAGGTTTGTTTTTGTGTAACTAGTTGTATTAGCTAGACAATTTGTGAGCTCATTCATGAAAACTCTTTGATGTGAAGCGAAAAAGAAGTAGAATAAACTAAGGGTTAGTTGAATCTGTAATGGGTAACTGGAAGCCCGATGCATTTGATTATTGGATGCTTTAGGAGTTATATTGCAATCTCAAAATGGGAAGCATTAGGTGGTAATTTAGATTTCACGCATCAGTTTGACTAAAATAAGTGCATAAATGTTAAAAGTTATCTTGTAGACTTCGGCTTTAAAGTACTCATTGATAGGCAATCACATTGATGTCTCATTGAACCTTTCGTCTCACTGTGAAGGCAGTATAGGAGATCATTATAGAAATATATATATATATATATATATTTAAGGGATTAGGAGTTGAATCACTAAAAAGTATGTACTGCATATGATTGATGAGAGGTGAGACATCACTGTTCGACTGTTTCACATTGCTCAAGCTGTCATATGACAAGTATATATCACAATCAACAATGTTAAAATTTGGTGATCCATAAGAGGGTAACCAGGGTCCAGAAGTTCAATTAACAACATGAGATTGTGGTTTAGTGTTTCTATATGCTCAGGATTTGCTACATGAGGTGACTGTATCAGTTATATAAATGAAAATCTTTTCTCCTGTCTGAACTTCCACAAACTCAGTATGCGCATATAGGCAGATAGACTGTATTACTGTTTGATGTAACAATAGTGTTTCGTTGAATACATTTTTTGAAAAATCAAGTGGGAAACCTTTGGGGCCGTTTACCGAACGCTTACCCCGTAAGCGCTTACCAAGTCACGTTACCTTACCGGATGAACATGGCAAGGACTGAAGTTTTATTACCCGGTAAGAGCGATGACAAAGACCAAGAGTCTTACCTGGTAAGCGCGGGTGACGACTTTTTCCCGGTAAGCGCTTACTGGGTAAATTGCTGCATAAGATGCCGTTTTGATGGACTGAAATCTGACCTGATAAGGCAAGTGATAGTGTTAAATCTTACCGGTAAGCGCTTACTGGTTAAGTGTTTGGGTAAACGGCCCCTAAATATACAGGGGAGAACATGGTGATCATGGTTGCAATATGTAGTCTCATTCAACTTCTCTGTCGTATGTGTTTGGAAAATATGTAGGCATGCTTCAATGTTTATTTTTATAAGACGTGATGACTTCTCTCCATTTCGAACAGATATGCGAATCTTTGACTTCAGGTCCATCTCATGCGATAGACATAACAAGGGAGGTAGGCATGTTGAGCCTTTATGTTTACACTATAAGCAATGTTTTTAAGTATTCAGAAATTCAAAGGAACCAAATGTTGGCAGGCCATACGTGAGGGTGCTGATGCAGTGGTGGCAGTTGGGGGTGATGGGACTCTTCACGAGGTGGAACTTCTTTTCAGAATGATTTATATTTTCTGCACCCTAGGGGCTGTTTGGTTGATTTTCCATTAAGTCTTATATGGATTAAGCTGTCTGTATAGATTAGGAAGATTTTTGTTTGGGAGGGTTTTTTAATAGATGAAAGGAACGTGTTTTTAATTGGGAGGGGTAGGTTTGGAAAAAAAACTTGGCTTTCTGCATAAAGCTCCCCCTTAGAAGCTTACTGAATAAGCTACTTTCTATATTATTAGGCCACTACCAAACAGTTATGTATAGCTAACCGAATAAGCTGTGAGTCCCATTAAGCTCATTAAGCTGTTAACAAACAGACCCTTATTCTAGTAACTAGAAACACCAAGTTCACCAAAGGGCCTTTGGCTTAGCGGTATCGTAGTCTTTGGCCTCCTAGGAGGTCAGGAGTTCAAAACTCTCCAAAGGTGAGGAGGGTGTATGAGTTTATTTGTTGCATTTGCCGTATATAAATATTATATACTTAAAAAAAACACCAAGTTCTTCATGTTTCTGGTAATTGCAGACAATTAAACGTCGGGTATCTCACTGAAAGTACAAAGAAAACTTGTTGAATCAAATAGAGAGTTTTATACGCAAGAGGCAAGTACCTCCATTTTACACATCATGAAGTTATTGACACATCATGCTGCTAGTTTATGTAAATTTCAGCTATGCAACTCATCAGCTATCAAAGAGAGCAGGATATCATTAAGATGATGTAATAAATGTTTGCAATACCAAAATTCTTTCCTTTCTTTTTACTCGATAGCGTTTGGATAACATTCTTGGAATTAGTGAGCGTGCAAATATGTGTATATACATTAGCAGGTCAAACTTAGGGCCTGTCTATTAGCAGCTTAATGAGCTTGATGGTCACAGCTTATTCGGTCAGCTATACATACTGTTTGGTAGTCGCTTAACAATATAGAAAGTGGCTTATTAGTAAGTTTCTTAGGGTGGGCTTTATGCTGAAAGCCAAGCTTTTTCCAAATCTGCCCCTCTCAATTAAAGAACACGCTCATTCCGCCTATGAAAAACCCAATCTATCGAGACAGATTAATCCACACAGACAACTTTATCCATATAGGACTTAATGAAGAACCAACCAAAGAGCCTCTTACTGCACTGCTAGGTAACATCTGATATTGGTCCATTGGGTTGTTTTATCTACCATGTTATCTTTAGACGAATGTTTGAATCGTTTGCATCATTTTTCCTTTTGTCAAATATAAAATGCATGGAAAATTCATGGCTACCACCAATATTACTATCAAACTGACCACACCTTTTTATATGTAGGAAAAGCATGTGATGTAAAACACATTCTCTCTCCTCTATTATACGCTCTCTCCTTAAAAAAGAAAAAAAATGGTAAGTTTAGTGGTGAAATTGGTGGTGGCCGGATCTTTATTCTCGAATATATTAAGCATTCGGGCTTTTGAATGTCAGGTTGTTAATGGATTCTTCTGGGGTGGAAAACTAGTTTCTAAACATGATTCTGAGGTTCCCCATACAACAGCACTTGGTGTAAGTGATTGTATAGAACTTTTGCTTCATAATCCCACATCATTATATTGGGAAATTGACAGAAATAGCCAATCATCAAATAAGGTTTCACTTTTTAGCTATTTTATGACCCAAATTCACTTTTTAGCCAATTCTTACAGAAGGCTTACGCATATGCATAAGGATCGTTTTACGTCAAAAAAGAATCCTAATCCTTACGCAGAAAATGCTTTTATGCATAAGGATTCTTATTTTTTTTATGCCGAAAATGAATCCTTACACATATGCGTAAGCCTTCTACGTAAGGATCGGCTAAAAAGTGAATTTGGATTAGAAAATGGCAAAAAGTGAAACCACCTATCAGCTTTGGCTATTTATGTAAATTTTCCCCATTATATTTCAAGCATTCTGTTAACTAATAAGAGATATCTAAGTTCCTTTGTATTTGTAGTTAATCCCCTTGGGAACTGGATCTGATTTTGCAAGAACCTTTGGCTGGTTGGTACTTCTTCCACTGTTTTCTTTCAGGTATTTGATATTTATGTCGATCGCCATGTTAATATCCTTGAACAAATTTTCACTTTTTAGGACAAATGATCCTGTTGACGCCATTGAACGCATAGTTAAAGGTCGTGATTCCTCTTTTTGGTAGTACATATAGTTGTTTGAAGAGTGTACTTATTTGCTTTTACCATATACATTCTTTTTCTGAATTTTCGAATGGAAGCATTCTGTAGGGTCTAGATCGCGAATTGATGTAGGAGTAATCACTAAAGAAGGTGGAGATTTGCATTACTTTATAAATGTTGCTGATATTCATCTGTAAGTGTTTCGCCTCAGAAATTATGAGAATAAACCTCAATATGTAACGACATTGATTTGGGAAATTAACAAAATTAGCCATTTTGGCCGAGAAAATTTACCTCTTAGCCATTCCTCTCCCACTTTTTCAACAAAGTCACGACCTCCGCAAGTAACACTTCCTCAACTTGCGGAGGGGCAAAAATATAAAAAAGAATTTTCTGAACGGTTCTGCAAGTTGCTTGAGGAAGTATTTAGATTATTTTACAGATTTGGTCCCTGTATTTAGACTAGTTTACAGATTTGGTCCCTGTTATGAATATGTTACTTGCGGACCATGTTTATAAATTTCTTTTATTTTTTATTTTTTACCCCTCCGCAAGTTGAGGAATGGTTACTTGCAGAGGTGGTGATTTTGTTGAAAAAGTGGGAGAGAAATGGCTAAGAGGTAGATTTTCTCAGCCAAAATCGCTATTTGTGCCAATTTCCCCATTGATTTTCTAATAGATTGCTTCCCAAGGTTATGTGCTATTTGGCGTTCTTTTGGTAAGAAAGAAAAGAGGAGAAGCTCATTTTCAAATTATCTTTATCTCTTAACTTTCAGGAGTGCAAAAGCAGGCTATCATGCATCTAAATACAAAAGATTTGGGAACTTGTGTTATGTTATTGGCGCATTGCAAGCCTTTTTTGGGCATAACAACCACGACCTAAAGATTAGAGTTCGTTCTTCCCTATGCTTTCTTAAATTTAGGGGCAGTTTACTAAACGCTTACCCGGTAAGTGCTTACCAAGGCCACTTACCCTACCTGGTAAAGTAAATTATAGTGTTGACTCTTACGGTCTTACTGATAAGCTCTTACAGGGGTAAACGGCCTCTTAATCTTGATTGTTTTTTCTCAGCCTACGACCTTTGTTCCTGGCCACTGACCTGCGGATAATATGATTTATTTTAGGTTAATGACGGGGAGTGGGAACTAAATCCCCAGGTAACAGCTTTGTGCATCGGAAATGCTCAATTCTTTGGTGGTGGAATGAGGATAACTCCCAATGCCCATCCTTCAAGTGGAAACTTTGAGGTGCGATATGTGTTTATTTAGGCACAATGCAACAAATAATTTTTTTTCTCGATCAATGTAACAAAGTTTCATATTTTCTATTTTGTACCCATTTTAACTGGTAATCTTGTAACCCTTTGGTAAACATTTCATAAACGCAGGGACGGACCCAGGTGGTGCATGTGGTGGCACGGGCCACCTCTTCGTTCCTCCGTTGTAGTGTAAAAAGTTATAGGGTCGTGAAAAGTGTCACCGTATCAATTTGTTGTGTGTCAGGCTTTTCTTCCATCTCAGACCCGAGTTCGAATTCCTTTAGTGTCATTTTCTTAGTTTTTAGCTTTTAATTTCAGATTTATTATGTTTCTGGAAAAAAATTGCAATAGAAGACTTGAACACAGAACCTCTCATATAAAAACCAATGAACTAACAGCATATCAATGATGATTTTGTGAAAATTATCCCTATATTTGTTTCTTATAGTCAAATGGTGCCACCACTTGAAAAAATTTCTAGGTCGTCTCCACATAAACGGGTATCCACGTTAAATCAACAAGTAACCTGTCAAAATAGGGTCAAAATAGGAATATAGGAAACTTTGAAACTTTCTTACTATCGATTGAGAAAAAAAGAATTTGTTACATTAACTAAGAACTAAACCAAACTTTGTTGCATTTTGTCCTATCTATTTCATATTTTTCAGAACCTTTTCTGCAAAATGTAGAATAACCTTAACTCTGCAGTTAGATTTTGCTGATCTTTCTCATATCAGGTGGTGATACTTCAGGATTTCAAATGGTATGACTTCGTTTTGAAATTACATAAGCTCTACAATGGAACACATTTGTCGGTGAATAATGTCTTGTCAAGAAGGTATCTACTCTTTCAAATTCAAAATTATCATTCATTAATCATATTATCGTTAACGAAAGAACCTTTGCTTTAGCAAGCGGTTTATTTCTTTTTCTGTCGTAGTCTGCAACAAATGAGACGTTCTGTTTACATTCATAATTAGTAACAAAATCTGGAGATACTATTGATGGAAAATCTGCACTTCCTCAACTTAGGGCTGTCTATGAACACAAATAGGGTAAATTCCAAGGTTCTAAATGACGTGAGGCTCAGTGTTGTGGTGAGGTCAAGCCTCAAGCCTTGCGAGTTATGGCGAGGCCATGACGTTTTTCAAGGCGTGCCCTAAGGCAACATATGTATACATATATATATGTATGTATGTGTGTGTGTATATATATATATACTTGTGTGTTAGTGTTTTAATAATCCCCTAGAACAATTTAAATTCATATACAATTATAAAACTAAAAAAAGAAAGAAGAACCATTTATATCAAATATATCTAGCTTATAAGAACATTATATCAAGAGTGCAAAATCGGGATTAAATTTCGAGTCTCTTCTCACTACTTTAAATCTTCAAGGAATTCCTGTTCGACTCTCCGCGTACAGGAATGAGAGTAAGGATTTACCTATTTAGGGTTTAGTTGTTATGTTTCCTTTTAATGTTTATTCAAGTCTTAAATCTTACATAATTATCATTTATCCTCCAACTTATATGTTTAAAAAAGTAAAAAAGAACATGCCTTAGAAAATAACGTGTCGTAACACGCCATAACACATTACAGCGGAAGCCAAGCCTTAGAAAGGAGCCATAGGGGTTAATGTGGCGGCGAAGCCAAGCCTCGGCGCCATAACGAGTTATTTAGAACCATAGTAAATTCTAACCAGGTAAGAGTAAAGGGCTGTTTACCAAACACTTACCCGGTAAGTGTTTACCGGTAAAATTTAACATTATTACTTACTTTCAGGGTAAAATTATAGTCCACCAATACGGTATAGTATGCAACAATTCATCTGGTAAGTGTTTACCGTGGTAAAAGTCGTCGCCCTCACTTACCGGGTAAGACTCTTGGTCTTTGTCTCGCTCTTACCGGGTAAGATTCTTGGTCCTTACCATATTCATCCGTTAAAGTAATGTGACTTTGTGTTCACTTACCTGAGTAAGCGTTTGGTAAACGGCCCCTAAGAGTGTGGTCTGGGTAAGAGGTGACTGAAAATGGTTGTTTACTGAGGGGCTGTTTGGTTCGTTTTCCATTAAGTCCTATATGGATAAATATGTTTGTGTGGATTAATCTGTTTGCATAGATTGAGAAGGTTTTTGTTTCGGAGGGTTTTTTTAATAGATAGGAGCGTGTTTTTTTAATTGGGATGGACAAATTTGGAAAACAACTTGGCTTTCTGCATAAAGCCCCCCTTCGAAAGCTTGATGAATAAGCTACTTTCTATATCATTAAGCCACTACCAAACAGCCATGTATAGCTGACTGAATAAGCTGTGAGTCACCGAGTCCCATTAAGCTCATTAAGCTGCTAACGAACAAGCCCCAAGCAGCACTACTTAAACAACCCCTTAGGTATTATTTGGAACTGTTTAAACAGCATATTACTACTTGACAAAGGTAGAGTTAACAGTGTCTTAATCGGACCCGATTATATTTTATTCAAGTATTTTAACAAGAAATAAATCATCCTTGCCCTTTTAGAATATAAATACCATCTCATGATAAATGTGGCATTGCAGCCAGAGAGAGGTCGAAGGTTTGGGGGTCGGTGTTGGTTAAAAGGGAAACAAAGGCCGTTCATTGGACGCTTATTGGGTAAGCGGTTACCGATTAGAGTCACCACCCTCTTCTCGGGTAAAATTCTTGGCTGTTAAAATGGATTGCTGGTAAGCGTCTTCTACCCGGTAAGCACTTACCGGGTAAGAGTTTTCTCCTTCACTTGTTGGGTAAGATTCTCGCTCCTTGCCATGCTCATTCGGTAAGGTAAGTGATACTGGGTAAGCGCTTAGCCCGGTAAGCGTTTAGTAAATGGCCATGCCCACTCCATCCCGTGAACTTGTAACATTTGATATGACACATGGTGGAAAGTGTTCGACTATTCGGGAATATCTAAAATAAACAAATTTTAGGAATCTTGTAAATCCAATTCCATAGTAGTGGTATTATATAAAACCAAATCAAATTGACCCGATATATTCCACTCAAAGTAGTGTCCGGGTGAGATGTAGATGTATATAGACCTGTCCTATACTCCACAAAGAGTAGACAGTTAACCACAAGGGTGGTGCCTGATTGGTTTGAGCTTGGCTCCAAATGTCAAAAGTATTAAGAGGTCTCAGGTTCAAATCCAAGGAGGAATAAAAATCCCCTTGTGGCCACGGAGGTTCAAATGCGGTGACTCCGGGCTATCTGCAAAGCAGGTGGTCGCCCTGGGATTAGTCGGCTCGCATAGCGGGTTGGATATCTAGGTTAATCAAAAACAAAAAAAAAAAGTGTAGACAGTTGTTTCCATAAAGATACCAACTTGAGCATGAGTGTGAAAGTAAATTGTTGCAAATTTGGCAATCCATGATACAGTTGTTGGGTGAAATTGTAATTTTATACCTATATGTTGAGTGCTGTTGGTAAGTGTGACAAAACAGTACAAAAACTTGTTATTCCACATTTGATGCGACATCAGATTGTGACAAGATCGGACCTCAATATGGGCGAAAATGCAATTTTTTTGGTTCCACCTATTTTTGGGAGATGGGATAAGACTAAGTAAATTACTAAACTACTCATTTGGAATTGAAACCCTAAAGCCTTCCACAATTCTGTTCAAATGGTTTTAGTTTTGTTATAGTTGGTCTTGCCATTAACTTTGTTTTAATTGTAGAGCGTTATCGATCGAAGTAGAGGAAGTCGTGGGCACCAACAGCATTTACGTTCAATCAGATGGAGAGTTTCTGGGATTCCTTCCAAGGAAGTTCTCGATTCTGCCGGGTGTTATCAGCATGATTTGCTGAAACCAAATTTTCGAGAATCATACCGTTCTTCCTGAAGGATTACTCGGTACCGTTTTTGCTACAATGAAGGCGAGATTAGACACCCGGAAAAGCAATCAAATCTAAGTTCATAAGCAAGCTCCAACGGGTTTTTCCCCGAAATGGTAAAAAGTATTTATTGCGTTCGAGTTAGAGTTGGCACTTGGCAAGACTCGGTTTTCGACTGATTTGGTTTTTGAACTGTTTCGCTTCACATGTCGTTTTCCAAACGATCGATAGTACTTATGACACAAAAATGCTTCTTTATACCGTCTTATAAAACATTTAGGTATAATTGTTCTTAAATTTCAATAGAACGACATGCATTATAACATATCAGGTACGAATCACTGATGCATTAACAGAAATTATGCTGTAAAGGAATGTAAAGCTTCGGTTTGGCACTTCAACTAATCACATGCATTTTATTTGATCGATGTTTTTTTTTATTAACCTGGATATCCAGCCTGCTATGCGAGCCGACTAATCTCAGGGCGACCACCTGTTTTGCAAGTAGCCCGGAGTCACCGTATCTGATCGATGTTTTGGATGGTGGAAACTTGGCTTATGGCAATAAGTCTATATATTTTAACCATAAGGATGGTGCTGATTGGTTTGAGCTTGAATTCCACAGGTCAAAAGTGTCTGGAGGTCCTATGTTCAAATCCAAGGAGGAATAAGAATCCCCTTGTGGCTATGGAGGTTCAAATGCGGTGACTTCGGGTTACATGCAAAACAAGTGATCGTCTTGGATTAGTCGGCTCGCAATCTCGCATAGCGGGTTGGATATACAGGTTAAAAAAAGTCAATATATTTATATAGTTTTGACTTTTGTTGTTTAGAAATTTCGATTTCCATCTGTGATTTGTAATTTATTGCTATTAACGTTCATGGACTAATTCCTGCCTTTAAGTATAAGAGACCAAAACGGTAAAGAACTGTGAACTAGAGGAACTGAAACAACGATAAATTGTAAAGTATGAGGATGAAAATAGCAATTTTTAATAAACCATAGGGACGAAAAACGTAATTCACTTTATATATAATTAGATATATGGACATATAATCATTTATCAATTTAATAAATTGTGGGAACTTATAAACTACACATGTGAAAATACAATACAATGTTTTTCATATGATATTGTATTTTTACATGTGAAACATTTAGAACTGTTTTATCGATGGAACAATACAATATAGGTTTGGGTTCACATGAGACTAGTCTGTTATTTTGAAACAATTGAAATACAAATGTTATATCATGAAACAATTGAAATATTAACGGAAAAAGTTAACGATCTTTGGACAAAGTAACCAAAACTAAGGGACGGACCCATATTTTTTTTCAAACGGTGACATCATTTGACTATAAGAAAAAATCTAAAGAAAATATTTCAAACGTTGGCATCGTTGGACTATAAGAAACAAATATATAATTTTTTTTCAAACGGTGACACCATTTGACTAAGAAAATGACACTAACATGATTCGAACTTGGGTCTGGGGTGGAACAAAAGCCTTGTAAACCAACTATAACAATTAAAACTTGTTCTCATTGTAGTTTTAAAATACATACGGTACAAATTAATACACATGCAACTTTTACGAACCTAAACTTTTTTACACTTCGATGGAGGAATAATACAGTGACACGTGTCATCGTATGCACCACTATAAGACCTTTTGGTAACATTGGAAATTTTTAATGGATAATGTTTCTAAACTTTAAAAACTCAGATTCCGTTCTTCACCTTTATTTGTTCATAAAACAAAATTAAACTTTACTCTTTAAATTTTCTTACTTTCTATACCTTTTCTTATTACTAATTTCGAAAAGAAAAGTATATTAAAATAATAACAACCATAAAACCTGTAAATCGACTTTCTTTCACAAAAATGGCGGTCCCTCTCTCTCCAACTTCTCTCACTCTTCACCACAGCTCCAATCACCGGCCCGTCCAGGTTTTCCGATCAAATCGCCACCTGAATTTCACGAAACTCAGGTGTAGCGGAGAAAGAGACAACTCAACAACCACCGATTCATCCACCTCCAGTCAAGGATCCGATCCTGGAAATCTAATGCTTAAAACCGCTTGGTATGGCTCCGAGCTTCTCGGAATTGCTGCCTCGTTTTTCCGTTCGCCGGAGAAGATCGTTGAAGGAGGCATCAAGCTTGCTGGAGATGGAGATGGTGTAATTGACCGCTCAGTTATCGTTGAAACTATCAAAGGGGATTTCCAGAGGTCTTATTTTGTTACAGGTAAAAACCAACTCAAATCCCCCCCAATCTGTATGTTTACAATTTTTGTGTTTCGTGTTGAAGTTGGCGTTCGAAAGCAATTCGTAAATGGTAGTTTTGTTAATCGTATGTATATACGCCCTAATTTCACTTCTCGATTCGATCCGTGTTCTTTTCATGTTCTAGTTATTTAGATTCATCTGGTGTATAATGTAAATGATTGCAAATTTTCGCTTGTTAATGTTTAATTAGGTGCTGTTACACTGGATGCATACGAAGACGACTGTGAATTTGCTGATCCAGCAGGTTCATTCAGAGGTTTACGTCGATTCAAAAGAAATTGTACAAATTTTGGATCTCTTATTCAGAAATCAAACATGAAGCTCATGAAATGGGAGGATTATGAGGTACGTCTAGGTATATACATGCTTTTAATGCCTCTTATATTTTTCCTAACAAATTTTTCTAACATTTCATTTTAGCTCATTTTCACTGTTATATGGCTTATCAACATTTTTCTTTATCAATCATGACTAGCTGTTTGATAGTTGCTGGATATTTTGGTGTAGTATGATTAAGTGGTAGAGATTCTCATGACATAGTGCAAAATAAAATACTCTTATTTGATAGTTTTTTTTATAATGAAATTAGAGTGCTTAATGGTTAAGGGAGACTCATGATACAAAATCATTCACAAGGTTTTAGAACTATTAAGAGGTAGACTTTTTCTTTTGCCAAACAAGATTAACCTCTTAATGATTCAGAGACTGCCTCTTAATTGAACTATTAAGAGGTAAACAAACCACCCCTAGTTATTAGTTAGTTTACCAGCTAACAAGTAACAACTAATTTTTCAGTTAAAATCTAGCTTATCAACTAGTTTGCTAAACATGGCCTTTATTATCTTTTCAGAAAGGAAGCCCAAAAGTTACTTGTAGAATACGAGTACATTAATGTGAAAAATTTGGTTATAATAGACACCCAGAGGGAGGTTCATTTAGGAACTTTAAATATTTTGTTATCCCAGGAACCACCTATTTTATATGGTATTCATGATGAATAACCTTGAATAATAATGAATATTATTCATCATGAATATCTGTAACAACATTCATCATGAATACTACATAAGAGGATGTTTAAAATACAAATCTTGGAATTCTTACAAACCATACAAACCATGATCAACACTTAATACTAGAAAAAAATTGAGATAATTATGGAAGACGATAGAGTTCATTTGTTATGATCATTGCTTAATATGAAACAATCGAAATGTTTATGGAACTAGATATTCATCAGGATAGATGGCTGGTTAAGATTGTTTTGTATTTGAAACTCCCTCTACTACACAAATTAAATGGTTCTGGGGTCCTCAAAATATTTCAATGTTCCTAAATGAACCTACCCCTGTACCACAAAGACACTATTCACATATATGTTTCTTTCATTGGCTGTTCATGGGCAAAACTCTTGATTTTGAATCCTTCATGTTGTAGGATAAAGGAATCGGGCATTGGCGTTTCAGTTGCACCATGTCGTTTCCATGGAAACCTATTCTTTCAGGTATGTTCAGCCGTAAATGTAAAAGAAAGCGAGTTTATATAATACAAGTCCCACAACCTTTCTACCCTTTGCGTAGAGGGAAGGTTTGCATACATCCTACCCACACAGATGTAGCCAGACGCTACATCTGTGTGGGATATACTATGTTCATTCAGTTTATAATTACTGTTGGTATATGTCTCAATTTATGTTCTGTTTTATGTATTTTTGGAGAACAATCAAGATAATGTCTTTCAAGAAAATATAACATATGCTTTTGATCTTTATCGTTTTAAGCACTTATTTTTTATTCGTTCTTCTTCCATTTTTATATTCTCGTAAGTTAAGAATCAGTTCATGGGCTTAGAACAACATAAGTTACAGTAGAGATTTCTGTCGTTTTTAGAATATACATGTATAAGATTTGAACCCACAACCTCTTGCCAGTTGAGCTTCTTAGCTCTTGTAATCGTCACTATCGGGTAGTGTTCTTCGATTGGTTTTTACCCTGTAAAGATTTTTACATAAAACTCGTTCTTTCTTGTGATTTTATTGCAATTACTCATTTTATTTGATTCAACTTTCACCATATTGATAGTAGTATTCAACTTGATGTTTTCTCATGCATTTTAATGGCAATTATGTCATTTTTCTTACTTTCTTGACAATTCAATTTCATTACAGCTACCGGTTACACCGAGTATTATCTCAGCAAAGATTCAGGAAAAGTATGCAGGTAATAGTAATAGAATCGACTACAAATTTGCGCAACCAAGTCTTTTGCAAGTATTTTGATAGAATATAGCCCAGTCGCAAACTTGTTTTCCGTTCTGGGGACAAAGGAGAGCGTGAAACGAGTCCTCATTCATCATCATGAATAACAAACGTAAATTTTTTACGACATTCATGATGAATATTCCGTGAATGCTTGGGATACATGACACGCTCTCCTTTTACCATCTCCTCCATTGATGAATCCTTGATAATAGCCTAATATCCATGCGTAGGATTCAAACTTCGGCATATAGCTGTAGCCCCTATTTGATAAGACACAAAAGCCGAGCTATCGTATATTTGCAATGTATTGAGCAAAATGTAGCAGAGTTTGGTTTAATTTCTATTTAACGTAACAACGTTTCAAAATTTCCTATTTTGTACTAATTTTGATCGATAACTTGTTGATACCGTAACATTTGTATTTTTATGGGGATTTATTTTCAGGCATGTGGAGCACTGGAATGTCCCAAAGATGGCATTATTCAAACAACTCCTAAAGCCTAGCAGAGGGTTATGGGGTAAGAAGGAACTTGGTTGATTTGTAAAATCTTGGATTTGATTTGATTCAAAGATGATCACTAATTGTGATTTTCTTTTTTTTACATTTTTGAAACAGTCTGAAGATAGTTATTATACCAAATACCCTTTGGTCTAGCGGTATGTGAGTCTTTGGCTTCTTAGAAGGTCAGAGGTTCAAATCTCACCAAATGTGAGGAGGGTGTGTGAATTTATTTGTTCTATTCGTAGTATATAAATATTATATACTTAAAAAAAGATTATACCAAATTCTTGATTCTTGTGTTTTTGCTTCACTTGTGCGTGTTTTGTCTTGTTCTAGGCATGACAACGGGGTGGGGATGCCGCAAGTTTTGTAATCCCCGGCCCCGGCCCGGGGTACGGGGATTAACATCTTGTCCCCGGTTAAACCCCGGTTAAACCCTATAAAAAAATATATGTTAGTTTGAGTCTACCGGGGATCCCGGGCCCCCTCCTCGTCCCCGGTTTGAGACTACTGGGAATCTCTGGCCACGGGACCCGTTTTAGCGGGGAATCCACGTCTCCATCTCCGTCCCCGTCCCCGTCCGGGTCGGGTGAACCAGGTTCCTCACCGGGTCAGGACACATCACCATCCTTATCGGTAGATGTTGAATCATCCGGTGTAGAATGATTGAAGAGACACCGAATAGTTTAGGACATAGTGAAAAATGGTTGTTAGGTAAGGGTTCCGAATAGATGATCTGAATAATATAAAATTTGAGTAAATTGCAATTTATGTCTATGTGATTTGTCAATAATTGCAATTTTCATCCTTTTGGTTTAGAAATTGTGATTTTTCGTTCATATGGTTTGCAGTTTATTGTTATTTTAGTCTCAAGTCTAATTTCCTACGTTTATATACAACGGATCAAAAAAGTAATGATTGTAAACCACAAGGACCGAAACAATAATAAATTATAAGGATGAAAATAACAATAAATAGAAACTATGGGGACGGAAAATGCAACTTCTAAACCACAGGGATGAACATCACAATTTTAAACAAACCACAGGAACAAAAAACATTGCTCTAAAAAATTACTATTTTAACCTTATGTATGTTTTAGTGTTGAATGAAAAATGATTATTTGGTAATTGTTATCCTTACCTTACTTTCGTACTTATTTTTCTCGATCTATGTTCACCATGTGCTATAGTCATTGTTCCTTCTGCATATTTGCTTATACTTTTGCACAAGCCAAAGATTTTTGGATCTACTGTTGGTCAGTTATATATATGTCTCAAACCCCCACCCCCAATTTTTTTTTGGAAGATTCAAACACTAGAAGTGGTGATTTCAACACTGAGGATTGTTTATTAAACATTCAGGGGTCGTTTGGTTCGCGAAATTCGAAGGAATTTGATGTAATTGAAATGACCAAATTCCAATTCATTTGTTTGGTTCATATTTTAAAATAGATGAAATCCTTCAAATTTTATTGAATTCCACAAATTAATGAATTAATCATTTATTGGCATAATGAAAGGAATTGAATTTTATCACCACCCACCACGACCATGTTACTATTGTTCGTCAAACCTCATCCCTAACCCCCCACCACTGCTGTCGCCGCCACCCACCCACCCTACCTACCCTACTACTAATCACCATGCTACTACTGTTGTCATCACACCCACCCTCGGTCACTCACTTCACATCCCTACTACAATCATGCTACTATTGTTAATGTCATGCCCCTAACCTAACCCCTACCAACACACCATTATTGTCGCCGTTACAACTGTCAACCCACCACCCTACCCCAACCCACCACTAAACACCATGTCACTATTGTTGTCGTCATATTCACCCACTCCCAAGGCCCAGTCACCCTACCACTATCTCACCACAATCATCATCACAACTATCACCTCGCCATCTATCCCTACCCATTCTACCGTCTCGCCCCTCCCGTACCCCCATCCCGCCCCACCCCACCCCACCCCACCTTATCCTACTCCAACCCACCACTAACCACCATCCTACCATTGTAAGCCATCACAGCTACCACTCCTGCCACCCACTGCCTCACTCTAATCCCCCTCGCCCCACCCTGTCTGCCCCCAACAACCCCTACCTATGGAAAAACACAAAACTTTTAAACCACATGGATGAACATTGCAATTTTAAACAAACTACAAGAACAAAAAACATAATTTACTCTATAAAATTACTATTTTAACCTTATGTATGATTTAATACTGAATGAAAAATGGTTATTTAGTAATTGTTATCCTTACCTTACTTTCATACTTATTTTTATCGATCCATGTTCACCATGTGCTATAGTCATTGTTCCTTCTGCATATTTGCTCACACTTTTACACAAGTCAACAGTTTTTAGATCTACTATTCGTCAATTTTGCATACGTCTCAAACCCCCCTAATTTTTTTGGAAGATTCAAACACTAGAAGTGGCGATTTCAATACTAAGAAGTCGTTTATTAAACACTTATGATACGTTTGGTTTACAAGAATGAAATAAAATTAAAATGATTTAAAATCCATTTCAATCCCACGTGGTTTTACTGATTTGCGGTGTTAAGGTGTATAAAATCGCGTAATTGATGGGTGGGAGAAATCCTTTGAAAATGGGTGTCATTTGAAATCCACCGGATTTGGTTCCTGCCCTAATTTCAGCACACCGCACACCGCACACCGCATACCGCACCTCCTCTTCGTCCCTGCTCTCCGGTGCTCTCCTTGCGGTCCCTGCTCTCCTCGTTGTCCCTAACCCCTCCTCCTTCCCTGCTCTCCGGTGCTGCCATCCTCCCTTATTGACGCCACTGCCTTTCTCCTTTCTCTACCGGTGAACCTCTTTCGCTTCATCTTGTTCTAATCGATCAATCACTCATGTTATCCATCATCCACAAGCTTTCTGACCTCAAATAATGCTTCAGGAGCATCTAGGTTCGCTGTATGGTGTTAATCAAACCCTTAACAGGTGTATGGTACTCCGTCATCCTTGAAAAAGTTTTACACTTAAATTCAACCACTCAAAAAGATGAAGAAAAAGGTATAGAAAAAAGGGTAAATTTCTTCACGGGTGACCATATCACTTCTAGTTCAAAAGTTTCTCTCTCTTCATAGTCATAACCCCTAATTTAGAAATGTCAAATAGCATATCTTCTTCCCCCAAATTTTGCTCTCTTGGGTTCTCTTTCTAGAAAGAGAAAGTAGAGCGAGAGAGAGAGAGAGAGAGAGAGAGAGAGAGAGGAAGCATGTCTGGGGTGGAGTCGATTTCTGCTACTACAGGAGATCAGAGTAATATTAAAGGGGTTTCTACACATGGTGGACGTTATGTTCAGTATAATGTGTACGGTAATCTCTTTGAAGTTTCTCGAAAGTATGTTCCTCCGATCAGGCCTGTCGGTAGAGGAGCTTATGGTATTGTTTGGTAAGAACCGAACTCTGTTCATTGTTTTTGAAACGTTAGCATGATTTCTAGTTTTTGATCGGTTTTATTGGTGCCTGAGTTGGTGAAATTGTGCATTTTGTGATTTAGTTGTGGTGATTTGTTGATTTGATCTTGATATGTGATCCAAACGAAGGGGAAGTGGGGAAGGCATTGAATTGTGATCGTGATGCACACCTGGTGTTTGTGAAATTTGTTAGAAAAAACTTGCTTGGAATCCACTGAAAGTCGTATATCACTTTCAGATTGAAGTATTTCGACGGTACGATCGAAATCTCAATCGGATAAAATTCAGTGGTTTTCCATACTTGAGAATGCAGAAATCGTTATGAATCTATATGTACCTCTCTAGACGAAAAATGACCAATTCAAAATTGTAAACCGGGCTCTGCCCCGTGGACCCCGCCACCGGGGGCGCTGCCCCCGGACCCGCGTCGTTTAAATAAACTCAAACAAGTGTGCACTCCACACCTTACTTACTTGTTCGATATTTATCATGATTACATTGCTCAACAAATTAATCCCATTACACTTAAATGATATTAGTTATACAAATCACCAACAAAATTGTTTCAAACGAGTAGGGTTCATCCCATCTTGATTTACAGGAAACTTGAGCTCATAACCCTTGATAATTGGTTCAATTCATCAAATTTAGCTACATTTTGATGATGCTGGCACTCAGTCAGATGATTCTATTTCATGAGTGTGTGTCGGCTTGAAACTACGGTTTCATCGTCTTTGAGTTGGGAATTTGTTGAATTTAGTGTCTTGATTACAGTGATTTGTAAATTGAGATGTGATTTAGTGACTAAAAAATGCCGAAATGTAATGAGTTTTGATCATTGTATAGAAAAGCTGATTGGTCAAATCAGCTTTGAATATGGTCGTCTAGTTGAATTGCCTTCGATAGTCAAGAAATTCTCAAATGTGGTTATTGATCTCATTAGGTTTGAATATGATCTCATTATACAACCTGAATCATCTATGGTTGATTAAGAATAGGAAAAGGGGTTAGGTAATCTTCCTAGCTCATTGACTCGTTGTGTTCATTAATAAGATCGATTGAGGTTTCTTCTTCTTTCGGTAGTCCTAGAAAAGAAACGAGATGTTATAAGGAATGGAAAATTGTATAATTTAACCGCTATATGTTCATTCCATAGGAAGTTGACTAAACACGAGCCCGATTCATGTTTTGATATCTTTTTATTTTCAAGAGCCGGGAAACCACAGCCGAAAAGGGAAAGTTTTGCAACTCACCACCAACAGGTTCCAACCACCATTTTTTGGTAACCGTTGGTGTCACGGTCAGCTTTCACGACCTAGTCCCACTGCACCCTAAATATAACCGCCTGGAAAATCCCCAGTGGCTCTGAGAAGACTCGAACTGGCGACTTAGCTTTTATTTGCCCACTTAAGTGAGCCTTCTTATTAGTGATTTGCCTTATATATTGATCAACCTTTCTAATTACTACTGTTATATAGCGTAATTGTGTCGTCTAAAGAGTATTCAATGATTCTATTTTCATGGTTTTGCTTAGCATTATTCATTCTTGTTTTTTGTATGTTATAATGTGAAGAGAATTGATGTTTCTTTATTTGCTTCAGTGCTGCGACGAATGTGGAGACACGTGAAGAAGTTGCCATCAAGAAAATTGGTAATGCATTTGACAACAGAATAGATGCCAAAAGGACTCTAAGAGAGATTATGCTTCTTCGTCACATGGATCATGAAAATGTGAGTCCCCTTTATGAAACTTTATATAAATCTTGAATCAAAGCGACTCTAATGCCATTGTCTTGTGTGCATAAATAGCATCCTACTTCTATCTAGAAACATGGCTGTGGTTTCTAATAAGGGTAATTTCACAAACATATTACCACCCATCTGGTAGAGGTCAGGTCTACTTAAATCTTACCCCCTAGACCCCACCTTCAGGTGGGATATACTGGTCTTGTTTGGTTTGGTTATTACTATCCCAGCTGCCAAATTGACAAATAATTTGTTCTAAATTCAACTAAGGGGCCGTTTACCAAAGGCTTGCCCGGGTAAGTGCTTACTCGCAAAATTCAACACTATCACTTACTTACCTGATAAGATTTTAGTCCACCAAAATGGTATCTTATGCAACAATTTACTAGGTAAGCGCTAACCGTGGAAGAGTCGTCGCACTCACTTACCGCGTACGACTCTCGGTCCTTGCCTCTGCTCTTACCAGGTAAGATTCTTCGTCCTTGCCATATTCATCCGGTTAGGTAATGTGACTTGGTAAGCACTTACCCGGGTAAGTTTGGTAAACGGCCCCTAAGAGACATTATAGTGCGGGATTGTTCATCTGTTTCGGGAAAATGATAACATGTACCGTCTAACATGTTGATTTTGTGGTCAAAAGTCAAAATTCTTATCCAAACCGTTAATTGACTACATAGATGAATATATTTGTCAAACTGGCTAAAGGTTATTGTATATTTGTCGTTATGGTGATAAGTTCTAATTTAAGCTCGAAGCATGGGAAGGTATATTTAGCAATGCGTTGATTAGTCCTTAATTAAGTTGCCTTTTGATTACTAAGATGTTGATTTCTTTTTATATCAACTAATTAACTTCTTAGAACCAAATGGTCAAACTTGGTCACTTTGTGTGGGATTTACTGGAGTTGTTTGATTTGGTTTATGCTTATGGAAATTAAAGCTTTTAATCTATATTTTGGCTTGTCATATAAGAGTGTCTTACTACATTAAGTTGTCTTATTCCTTGTTATGTTTGGTTTTAGATCTTTCTTTCCATCTATGAAGCATTGATGTTTCCTTTTTACCTATTTGCTCATTATCATATTACATATATATTGATGGTATTTAAATTGGGTTGAAGGGTATTTAAGATATTTGACAAATGGTCAAACTTGGTCAACAATCATAAGCTCACTGCTTCATCTTCAACCTCTGCAGGTTATTGCAATCAAAGACATCATTCAGCCTCCACAGAAGGAAAACTTCAATGATGTGTACATCGTTTATGAGTTAATGGACACCGATCTTCATCAGATAATACGTTCTAACCAACCTCTGGCTGATGCTCACTGTCGGGTTTGCCTCCATTCTCTCAATACTTAATTTTTAATGTGTTGTTTTGTTTGCTATCCCCACGATGCTCAATTGCTCTTAATGTTCGAGTCAGTCTTAATAATTTAATTAGTGGGATAAAATGCATTTTTTCCTGTCCCTCCAAAATAGGTGGAACAAAAACTAGGGAGGGATGGACAAAGCTTGGTAAATTACTAAAATACCCATGTCAAAGTAAAACCGTAAAACCTTCCACAATCATTTCGTCTGCCTACATTAGGGGTGTAAACGAGCTGAGCCGAGTAGTAAGTTAATTGAGCTCGGCTCGAAAAAGTTATACCAGGCTCGAGCTCGAACTTTTTCAATGTAGGGCTCGAGCTCGAATATTTTTTGAGTTATGGAGCTTGATGCTCATGTACGGGCTCATACTTACAATTGATTAACTCGTTTATTGGCTCGAGGTTTATAATTTTTATATTTTATTGTACTATCTATGGACATATGAGCATGTTTGGCTCAAACATATAATTTTTGTATTTTTATAGTATTATTTAATCGAGCTTGCGTACAAGCCGAGTCGAACATTGGTTTTATGAAGCTCGACTCTTTAAGTTAAACGAGTTCTGTTTTCTGTTCGAGATTGGCTCGAGCTTGAGTAGCTTGTTAAAAGCTCGACTCATTTACACCCCTAGCCTACGTCACACTTGCCCTTCTTGTCTAGTCCTAGTGAGTTACGATAGAGTTGGGAAAGGTCAAATCATAAAGTGTCAAGTACAATGGCGTTCTTATCGCATTTTATTTTATGTTCAAAACCGTTCATTCATGCAAAGTGTGATGTTTCTTTTTGCATTTTCGCAAAAATCGAACATTTTCCATGCAAATGTTTCTGTAGTGGTGATCGTTTAATTTACGTTTTGAACTTTTGATACCATGCAGTATTTTCTTTACCAAATACTACGAGGACTCAAGTATGTTCATTCCGCACACGTCTTGCATCGTGATCTAAAACCAAGCAACTTACTTCTCAACTCGAATTGTGATCTAAAAATTGGAGATTTTGGGCTTGCAAGAACGACTTCCGAAACAGATTTCATGACCGAATACGTTGTTACTCGCTGGTACCGGGCCCCAGAGTTGCTCTTAAATTGTTCGGAATATACAGCAGCTATCGACATCTGGTCAGTAGGTTGCATTCTCGGTGAAATCATGACTCGACAACCGCTGTTTCCTGGCAGAGATTACGTTCATCAGCTCAGGCTTATCACAGAGGTAGCAGTTCTTTTCACACTGTTTTTTTGCAGATCTTCTAACAAGCCTTAAAGCGTGTCTTAATTTACGGGCGTGCACACATTCGATCCAAACTATCGACACTGAAACTGTAAATAGACAACATATGATTTGGTTTTCGGGTTCAACGGGTTAGAAAATTTGGTTCTGGGTTCGTTCTGCAACCAGTTAAAACCGAATAATGCATAAAGAAGTAACTTTATTTTGAAAATTTGCGTCCTTAAAGCGAGTTCATATGAGAAAATGATGATTCTGTAGGAAATCTATGAACTTTTATATCCCTTCGTCCCAAAATAAATGCAACATCGAAGTTTTAGTCAACTATCTAAAATGCGGGACAGTAAGCACAAAATTGGAAAATTTTATGGACCAAAATCGGAAACCTGGAGGCGAACTCAACCTTTAGGGTGCGTTTGGTATTCAGACGGGATGGGACAGCTATTCAGCATTTGGTAGGACAGAATATAACAGATAAAATGACCAATTTACCCCCAATGAGTTGTTTATATATTTTGATTAATTTATGTAATTTATTAAATTATAATAAAATAAATATGTTTATAGCAATATATATCATAAGAAAGTTTCTCTTAAAATGTGTTGGGATAAAATTGTTGTATTTAAGTCCTTGAGCTTAAAGTGTTTTACATTTTTTTTTAGTGTAACTTTACATGCTTTGTAGTTAGTTTTGTTCCTTGTAATTTCTTGGTATAAATAGGGTACTTGGTTAGTTTTGTTAGTTACTTTTAGCATATATGTGAGACATTTTGAGAGCTAAACTTGTCATCAAGAACACTTGTACTTTGATCTCCATATCAATACACTTGCCCACATATTTGCATCAATCTGTGTTCTTGAATTTTGATGAATTGTATGTTTATGAGTTGAATCTGGGAATGACACCAAAAGAAAAAGTTTATATAGTTTCAAAATTTTATTTTATACATTTTCTATATTATTATTATTATTATTATTATTATTAATATTTAGTAAATTATATAAATTAACCAAAATATATAACCCATATAAAAATAATATTTTGAGGATAGTAAAGTGAAAGTTTAGAGAACATAAAATACGATAAATAAAATTTAAAGAATGAATAAAATGTAATGAGGGAGGAGTATTTGATGTTTTAGAAGAGAATTTATGTTTTATTTTTAGGTTATATTGGTAAAATATAAGTGTGTTGTTCCATGGGGTGGGGATGGACACGCCTGTCATGTCTGTTCCACATAAAAGTTCTGCCAAACATGGAACAGTGACCCTTTATAAATTATGTCCTATGCAGTGTACCAAACACACATGGCCCATGGGTGCACGACTGCACGCAAGCTGATCTGAACACCCACTGTTTCAAAAAAAAAGATGCTTGAAAATTTTTGTGGACCAAAAAGGGGTAAAGAAATAATTTCACGTTGAGAATTCGCCAAAAAAGGAAATGTTCATTTATTTTGGGACCGAGGAATTGATCTTTTACTGGGATGGGGTTTGACCATTTGTTCTTGTCCAACTTTCTTTTAGCTCATAGGTTCACCAGATGACGCAAGTCTTGGATTTCTAAGAAGCGATAATGCACGAAGATACGTTAGACAACTTCCTCAGTATCCGAGGCAACAATTCTCTACTAGATTCCCAAATACGTCTCCAGGAGCTCTGGATTTGCTGGAAAAGATGCTCTTCTTTGACCCAAATAGGCGTATTACAGGTAAAAACGTGTAACTTATAATATGCATTTTAAGCCTACGCGATTATTTTCCTTACCAGACAAACTTCTTGAAACTCCGATGTGGGATTTACTAGTTTTGTTTGGTTTGGTTCTCAATCTTGCATGCACAAACTCCAATGTAGACATAGTTTTTGTTATCGGCTAGATATAAACCATCAATCTCTATACATACATATATATACATACATACATATACATACATACATACATATACATACATACATACATACATACATATACATACATACATATATATGTATATATATATATATATATATATATATAGGGGTGGTTACTTTGCAAACCAAGCCACTTGTACAAACCGTACAAACCATCCTCATCCGTCGATTTCATTGTTTATTTTAATGAAATTGTTTCATATAATTCTTTTCTTGATGAAATTGTTTCATATATATATATATATATATATATATTTATTTCTATGTAAAAATGAAATTGTTTCATGTATTTCCCATTTTGATGAAATTTGTTTTCTAAAATTAATATAATGAAGATAAGAATGTCCATATTTAACGCCCTTCACAATAAAAAATGACTAATCAACCCTCATAATTAAAAAAAAGGTGAAAAAAGAAAAGAAATTATGATGGGTTGAATGAGGTTTTCAAGGTTTGTACAAATGGGGATGTTTGCATTTGATTCTTCCCCTATATATATATATATATATATTAGATGAATCGTGTAAAAATAGGAGTTAAGATGAGAAGCGTAAGAATGGATCTGGACCGTTGATCACTTTTACTCTCACACCCACCCATCAATTGCGTTTATCACATGAATTGATCTGGTGCATCTCGGTGCACCACATTGTTGATCTTCAATTTGGATTGATCCACAAGTGGAATCTTTTCTTATCCTTCTCACCATAACTTCCATTCTCACCGTAACACAAATCAAACGAGAACAGGGTAGGACATGACGGGACTTGAGTGTCCTACCCAAAATAGGTAGAACAAAAATATTGGAGATGTGACAAAATTGGTAAATTATTAAACTACCATTATCAAATTAAAACCTTAAAACCTTTCATAATTCTTTCACCTACCTATCTCACTCCCTCTCAGTCCAATCTTGTTCTGTCCATACCGTTTGACTACCAAACACACCCCTAGGAGTCTTCACAGAAACAACCACTCTACCATTTGGGCATAGTATAAGTTTGCATACAACCTGCCCCCTAGACGCTACTTTCGAGTGAGATACACTAAATGACCCTTGTCAAATCAAAACCTTAAAACCTTTCATAATTCCTTCACTAGCCTACCCACTTTCCCGTTTAGTCCAATCCTGTCTGTCTACGTACCAAACACATCCTAGGATCTTCACAATTACAACTGCTCTATCCTATGGGCAAAGTACAGTACAAGTCTACGCACATCCCACCCCCTAGACCCTATTTTTGAATGAGATATATTGGTTTTGTTTGATTTGTATATACTGGTAAATTACTAAACTACTGCTGTCAAATTAAAATCCTACAACCTTCCATAATTCTTTCACCAGCCTACCGCACTCTCAACTGTCAAGTCATGTCATGTCATGTCCAATCCCATCTGTGTACCAAACACGCCCTTAGGGGCCTTCACAGAAACAAATGCTCTACCCTTTGGGGCAGAGGACATGTCTGCCTACATCCCACCCCCTAACACTTCTTTCAAGTGGGATATACCGGGTTTATTTGGTTTTGTTTGATTTGTATATATTGGTAAATTAATAAACTACCCTTGTCAAATTAAAACCTTAAAACCTTCCATAATCTTTTCACCAGCGTACCCCACTCTTGACCATCTAGTCATGTGCAGTCCAGTCCCGTCTGTGTACCAAACAACGCCTCTAGGGGCCTTCCTCTACCCTCTGATGTGGAGGACAAGTCAACGTACATCCCACCCCCTAGACCCTACTTTCGAGTGGAATATACTAGGTTCGTTTGATTTTGTTTGATTTGTATAATTGTGATCATCAAGAAATCTTGTTTTTGGATGAATTGCAGTTGATGAGGCACTGTGTCACCCGTACCTAGCACCGCTTCACAAGATCAATGAGGAGCCGGTTTGCCCTCGACCGTTTAGTTTCGACTTTGAGCAGCCATCGTGCACTGAAGAACTCATCAAAGACCTGATTTGGAGGGAGACTGTAAAATTCAACATGTTAGGTAAAAAAACAGGACACTTTAAAACTTCGTTACGTAAATAGGAAAATTTAAAACTTCGTTACAAAAAAACTCTTTGTTGTACAATATAGGAGCTAAGCCAAACTTCGTTATATTTTGATGCATTTTCCCCTAAAAACGCAATTTCATTATCTTATCATAAACGGAGTTGGATTAATGTTCATCTATTCCTGCTCATTCGCATTCTTTATGCCCTTTTTTAGCTGACACCATGGATCCACTCGATGACATATTTGGTTCATCACTAAACTTAGAAGACGCCCACTTGAACGAAGGCTTTCAAGAAGGCTATGATGCCGGTTTGGCTTCTGGAAAAGACGATGGACGTGAAGTTGGATTGAGAACAGGGTTTGTAACCGGTGAGGAATTGGGGTTTTACAGAGGTTGCATTGACGTTTGGAACTCGGTGATTCGAGTCGAACCAACGTGTTTTTCGACCAGGGTTCAGAAGAACATCAAAGAGATGGATGAATTGGTGACCAAGTATCCGATCTTGGAGCCTGAAAATGAATCTGTAACGGAAATGATGGGGTCGTTAAGGTTGAAGTTTCGGGCTATTTGTGCAACGTTGAACGTGAAGTTGGAGTATAATGGATACCCAAAAGCCTCGGGCTCGAAAGACCAGTTTTGAAGTAGAAGAGGATCGATCGATCGAAGAAGTCTTCTTCTCGACAAACTTTTTTTTCTGTACATGTATAATACATCTATTTGTTCTTGTTTGATAAGAGGCAATAAATGATCGATCAATTATCGTACTTGTCGTTTTATTGCAAAACAATTGTTATTGTCTTGCTTAAAATCATGACATTTATCATATAAGTCTGATTGGACCCAGTTCGATCCTATTGGATTCAGCCGAGCTATATTAGTGGGTTTTGATGGTCTGATCCAATTGGATTCAGTCGAGTTATATTAATGGGTTTGAGTGGACCGGTTGTCATTTACTGGATCTAGTCGAGCTCATTTTAATGGGCATGACTGGACCCAGTCCGATCCTATTGGATTCATCCAAGCTATATTGGTTGGTTTGACGGTTTGATCCAATAGGATTCGGTCGAGTTATATTAATGAGTTTGAGTGGACCGTTTGACTGGACCCAATTCGATCCTATTGGATTCAGCTGAGCTATATTAGTGGGTTTGACAATCCGATCCAATTAGATTCGGTCGAGTTATATTAGTGGATTTGAGTGGACCTGTTGTCTTTTGCTGGATCTAATCGAGCTCATTTTAATGGGCATGACTGGACCAGTCCAATCCTATTGGATTCATCCGAGCTATATTGGTTGGTTTGACGGTTTGATCCAATTGGATTCGGTGGAGTTATATTAATGAGTTTGAGTGGATCGTTTGTTGTTTATTGGATCTAGTTGAGCTCATGACTAGACCCAGTCCGATCCTATTGGATTCAGTTGAGTTACATTAGTGGGTTTGTGTCACACCCCGCTAAAGCGGAAACACGGGGTATGGCAGGTAGAGTCTTATAACAATAGTGTATAAACAACACAACCATACATTTAGAAAACATAAATTCAAAATAAATAAAGTTTACAATCCCAAAATAAGAGTTTGCATCACTAAACATAAATTAAGATCGAAATTTCCAAATGTAACACGTCTTCAAACATGAGTCATCGAAAATCTTTCTTACCCTAAAAAAGCATGTCAAACAAGTGTCAACTACAAGAGTTGGTGAGTTCACAGGTTT